ATAAAAAAAGTTTAAATCCATGTGTAGTGTTTTCATACTACACATTTTCCACGAACTTTTTGAAGACCTCCTCATATATACAACATCTTCAGAGAAATATCTCGTTAATTTTTACATTAGTGGCTTTTTTTCTCCATATATCCTCTAACCATAAGATTAAAAAGAATCAAAATGAAAAGAAATTATGGTACTACAGGGAGTACCACCATTGATCAGTGGCAGAAGAGGAGGGCAGAAAGAGAGTGGGGGCACTGAAGACACCCAGACAGACTTTCTAAATGAATAAGTTCTGAAGTTTCTCTCCAAAGACCCTTCTATAGCTATCATTGAGCCCTCTTACCCATCCGACTTCTACTATTCCACAAGTCCCATATGTCCAGACACAAATTTCCTAACAAGAATCATCTAAAGTTCCTTTCCTCCACAGGAGAGACAAAATCCCATTTCTGTAGTTCACCTCTTCAAAATCACTAGTATTATTTGAACAAAAGGAAAGGAGGAAGGACAGAGGGAAGGAAAAAAAACCTCACTTAATAATTTTGACTAAAGTGTGAACCTCTTTGTGGGCATTGGCAATATAAAAGAAGCATGTTATAGGGTGTGGTGGTGATGCAGCCATAGCACCATGCTCTGTGAGGCTACCCACCTGAGAATGTTCCAGAGTCACAACCAAAGACCTCCCTATACACACATGTGTATAGGGGGTACATGTGTGCCCATTATCTGAAACTGGCTGAGGCTGTGAGTGGATCACAACATGAAGTATCTTTTAGGGGTGGCTATTTCTGTCTTTCTGTCTTTCTCTCAAGGAAGAAATAAATAAGCATTTCAAAATCAATCAATAAAAGAAGAATGTTATAAATCAAACTAATCTTTACAAATAGTATGAATATTTCTGGGAAGTATATACACCAGAAGCCCAGAATTGCCTCTCCTGTGTTCAATATGGACAGAACCACATTCCTGGTGCTCAATTCATCCATGACCTGATAGAACAGTGGGAGCTTTCTCTTGACAGTGTGCTGCCTGCCAGCCTACAATTGCTTTTCCAAAGTCTTGCCACCTTGGTGCCCTAGCAGTGTCTGTGAAATATTAGGATACTTTGTTCCTACTATTTTATAAGAAAATATATTTTATAGGTAATTTTTAAAAAAAGAAAATGAAAGAGAAGAAGGTGAAGGTCAAAGTTAACTTACTGGAGGTTAAGATCGAAATCATCACTAGATGATAGAACACAGAATTGCAGAGCATGGACTAGGTGGCTGGGTTGGGCAGCCTATACTCTCAACATTTTTATTTTAGAGAGATTTTTGTTATAAGGCATGTGTGCTCTCCAGAGAGACAGAGAAAGAGAAAGTGAGAAATCACCCCCAAGAAGGGATGGCCACACCACAATCCCTTCTCTATTCTCCTCCCAGGATCTTGGGCATGCACATACATATGCCCAGTATGAGTTTTAAGCTGCCAGGTCTGTGACTTGAATCGTGGCCAACTATGTGGAAGTTCAGCAATGTAATCACTATGCCATCTACTGGTCTCATCAACATTTTCCAAAACAAGAAATGAGTGTTTCCTTGTAAGAGTGTGGCGGGGGGAGCACATACATACTGCTATCGGTTTATGTTACATCTTGTCCCAAAGAGTTGCCTAGAGGAGCGAAAATACTTAGTAGAAAGAAGCTAGAGAAAAGACAGACATCTTGGGACTGAGAAAGAAAATGTAAAACTAGAAGGGACATAGACATGGTTGTAGGAAAGAGATCCAAGATAGGGAGCGGGGAGTCTTCCAAATAATATATAAAAGTGCCCACAAGAAGAGTCCACCATAAACTATGCAATGACCAGAAAAACAAAAGATCAGCAGCAATTAGATAAGAATTCTTTTCCCCTTACCTCTTCCCTCCTTTCCTTCCTTCATTCTTTCTGAGAGAGACATGGAGAGAGTGAGAGAGAGACAAAGAAAGACAAGCACCCTTGACAGGATTCCACCAGCCATTCCCAGCCAGCCAGGATCATCAGCACATGCATGTTCACTGGGGAACCAAACTTTGATCTTCCCTCTGGCCTCCAGCTTTGCAGAATGCTGTGCTGTCATTGTGCCACCACAGTGAGGCCACCTCTTCCACTTTGATTTCTTCCAACTCTGTGGGTATCTGCAAATAAAGGTGGCAAAATACAGAAATAAGGGTAGAAGTGCAAAGTGTGTGTGTGTTTGTGTGGGGCGGGGGAGGGGGGAAGATTAGAAGCCCCTACTGTGGCACTGCAGACAATTGACCTGGAAAAGTCTTGGAATGGGAACAATTTAGCTGTTAACTTCCAGCGGTTCTGAACCAATAAGCGATGTACTTTCCCTCTCTTTGATAAGCCACAAGAGAGAAATCAGGGTTTGACTAACTTGAACAGGAAAAAGGAGCTACATATTTATTTACATTAGCTTTTAACTGAAAGTTGGCCTCTCCTTTAATGATGGAGGTGGGTAACATGTCACAGTAGTGTTATCAGTACCTGTGCAGGAAAGTTACCATAGCATGTCTGAAACTGCTACCCTCGGACTGGCCTCCTTGTAAGGTTGGCCCTTGGCTGACATCTGGAAATGTCAGCTTGGGGGCTTTTCTCACCCTTCCCTAATGCATAAGGATGACCCGCAGTGCCTAGACTTGTACACATAATGCGATTCTTATTATTACACACCTGCTTTTTAACTGCGTGTTTGGAAATTTGGTACAAGCTAGGTAGAGGCTGCCTATGTGACCAGTCCTCAATAAAAACCCTAAAACTCAAATCTCAAAGGAGCTCTCTGGGCAAAAAAATATCACACACATGTTGCTGAGTTGGAACTTCTGGGGAAGCGTGTACTCTGCATAAGCCCACAGGGGAATGAAAGAGCATAAGGAGACCTGTGCAGACTCCTCCAGACTCTGCCTGTGTCTTTTCTTCTTATGGCCTGGGTGTGTACCCTTACTACATCTTTGTAATAAATCTTGGCTTTCAACACAACTGTATGCTGAGTCTCACCAGACCTTGCAAATCTACCGATGGGGCCATCATCTTGGGGTCTCCAAATACGGTCACCAATGAGAATCTCAGATATTTTCTTTTAACATTATAGGTGTTGCAGATAACTTGAAATTTCAAATATGTTGATCACTGCTTTGAAATTAAGATAGATATTAGATCTACCACCATATAGTTTTTTAATGTGTTGATAAATAAGCACACCTATTATTATACCACAAGATATGGAGACAGCATTGTTGAGACAGGGAGGTAGTATTGTTATATTTTGATCAACTGGACTGGGGAGAAATGTTCACATATTGAAATGATCACCTTGTAAGCTAAATAATGTGATTTAATATATTAAAAGAATGTAAATAAAAATAAATAAAATATTTAAATTCTTGAAACTTTTAATATTGTGTTTTGACATAATTCATTTTCTGTGTAATCATGAATGTTTTTTAGTTGATTTCTTCTATGAGAGAGAGAGAGACAGAAAAATAAGGAGGTAAGACAAGCACTCCCAGCACTTCAAGATCTGCGCAAGTCTCAGCCCGCCTGGATCATGGACATGTGCATGCCTGATATGGTCAGGAAGGTCCTGGGACATGAACCCAGGGCCTTTCCATGTGGGTCCAGTTGCATTACACTGCACCACTGTCTGGCCCCTAATCTCACATATTTTATCTGTTGCATAACTCTAAGAGCCTAATTCTCAGATGTCTCTATCATCCCCAGACTGCCAAAGGAGTCTGTGTAAAACAAAATTTAAGACTGGGACCAGTCAGTGACATAGTGGTTGGGCAGTTGGATCCCACATGGCCAACTATATGGTTCAAATCCCAGTCCCAGGGACTTGGAAAAACATGCTAGGTGCAAATGTGTGCATGCCCAAAACTGCAGGTGGTGAGATGGAGGAGAAGGGATTGTAGTATGACCATCCTCCATTGAGGGGGAGAGGTGCTTTCTCACTTTCTATCTCTTTCTCTCTCGCTCTCTCTGTCCGTTGAGCGCATGTACCCTCTAGCAAATTTTTGAAAATGTTTAAGACTCCCTGCAATGGGATAGTACCTTGGACTAGATATACTAATTACTAACAGGCAATTTATTACCCATAAGTGAATGAACATGCAATGCCCTAAATTTCATCCAGAAAAAAGGAAGAACTAGTCCTATGGATTATATTTAAAGGGCCAGTAGGAGCCAACATTTAAATTACTTCATGATTTCATGCCCTGCTTGTTCAATGTGACAGTTATAGAGATAATGTATCTAAAATATGAGATATAGGGGCCAACAGATGGTGTAGCGGTTACATCGTTGGACTCCAACATAGCTGGCCTTAGTTTAAGTCCTGGACCCAGTGTCTTGAAAATCATGCCAAGCACATATGTGTGTGTGTCCAAGGTCATGGGAGGAGAGTGGAGGAGAAGAGATTTTACTACTTTCCCTCTCAGTGTCTCTGTCTCTCTCTCTCTCTCTTTCTCCCCAGCGAGCACATGTGCCCTAAGGTGAAAGAAAACCTCTAAAAGACAAAAAATATAAGGTATATAATCAGGGGTATATAACCATGTTGAGCTTTCTGGATCTATAACCACTCCCAATAGAATTTTTTTCTTGGAAAATTATTTCGAATTCATAACTATGTATAGGAAATTCTCCAAATAAAGCTCTGGAAACCTCTGATTTCCCTTTTAGGTGGGTTAATGATCACAGCTGGACTCTTGGTTCCAGTCAGGGAAAAAGACAGTCTTTTGTGGAGGTGATGGGTGTGGGAATGGAGCTGGGGGTAGGTGTTACCTCCCAACACCAGTGTGTTATCACAGGAGATGGCGACGTGTTCCTTACCAAAGTACTTTCGGTTTAAGTACTTTTTGCTAAGTTTCAGTAATTATGGAAGCTTTACATAAACCTTGATAAAATGTTTTTCAATGAATAACACCTTACAATTTAGTCTAATTTAATAATACAAATTTAATTTGAGTAGGTTCAATGCAGAGAGTTGCCAAATTTATGAAAATAGCTTATTGGTATGAGAGAACTTCAAAAATGTTCATGGAAAAATTGAGTCGAAATACCAGTTTATTTTGATATAAAACATTGGAATCCACACATCATGTTTCCTAATACACATTTTTCATGAACTTTTTGAAGACCCTGTATATAGCATCCTGTTCTTCCCTTAAAGATGCACAGAGGTATGTTATCCTCTCACAATGAAACAGGATGGAACAGATGATTGTTAAGTTATAACTAAAGTATTTCTTTCATTGACTACAAAAATACTATGCAGGTAAAAACAATAAGAAAGTTTATTTTACAATATTTGACACTCTTCTGCCCATGACTCTTTATCCTTCCTTCCTGGTTCAGTGTACTTCTGTGGCCCACGGGTCTTCACAACTTTGCACAGAGCATTTCCAGCATCATATCATCCATGCTGACTGTGCCAATGATGGGCCTGAAGAAGAGTTCAACAATGACATTGGCATTGATGAATCTTAGCAGGAAAAGGGCACTATTCAGTTCAGCGAATCTGGCCTGGTACCCTCTGCGCGTCATCCTGATGTGTTCATTGAGGATCTGCTGAGTTCCCCACTGAAGTCCCTGAATGTACTTGATGCACTGCAGGCCTGGCAGGTCTGGAGGGAGAAAAATCTCTGTTATAAACAGCTCACCACAGAGTCCTTTCCTAGCTTTTTAATTTTCAATATATCCATATATATTAGGTCTTCTCAGTTAAATAACAGGCCAAGCTTCCTGTTTAAAAGGCTATTCTAGAACCAGGCTAAAATGCCAAAGTAGTTCTAAGTTTTCAGAAGCAACACTTTCAAGAATGAAACATCATATAATTATTTTAACTTAGCATGCTTCTATGTACACATTTAAAAAATGCTGGCCATGAGCCAATAAACACACAAATTAATACGACAGCAGAATATAGTTTAACCTTTGTTGTAGGTCATGGTCTATGCACAAATGAAGAAATTTCAAGAGGTGAGGGTGAGCACTTTACCTTTTACCTATGAGAAAGAGACCATCATATAATGACATGACATTTTCTTTCTTCTCTATTTTTTTTTTTGATGTTTTGCTAGAATGTAAGTACACTTATGAGAGAGAGATGGGGGTGGGAAGGAGAGTGATAAAGCACCCCTTAGATGAGATGGCCACACCACAATCCCTTCTCTCCTCTCCTCTCAGGATTTTGGGCATGCACACACATGAACCCAGTGTTTTTTTGGAGGTTCCAGGTCTGGAACTTGAACCAGACAGTGAGCTATCCAGGATCCAGCCACCTTAACCACCACAGCATCAGCTGACCCAACAAGACATTTTTCCAAGTGACAAACATTTTATCATTCTTCCTTGAATTTCCTTCCATTAAACTGATTGTCCAGCCAGTAGAGGTAAACTTCCCCTCCACAAACTGTGACTCAAGAGTTTCATTTTAATTATTTGCCTGCAGGCTGGTATTGGCCTAAAGACAGACCCATGATGATCTGAAAGCTAACACTGACCATATAGCTCATTGTTCCATAATTTCTGTATTGGGAAAGGTCAAAAAAAAAAAAAAAAAAAAGGAAGGAGAGAGAGAAGAGTGATTCTAATGAGCATTAATTGACTCCACCAAGGGCACTAAAGAAAATGAAGTTCTGGAAAACTTTTGGTAAGGTTGAATCATAAAATTGGTTTGGAGTTGACCAGCAATTGAAACAAAGAAGAAATAGAGTACGTTCCAGAAGTCACAGGTCCATAAAAAAATAAACTTAGTGACATCTTGGATTGCAACATGGTTGGTTCGAAAATAACTTTTCTCCTAGAAAATGCATGATGTGATGTTCTTGAAGTACAGTGTGTGTGACACCTTAAAAATGAATGACATACAATGCAGGTAAGATTAAGTGTATACAAATTTTATAAAAAAAAAAGTGGGAAAGGAAGGCTACTTTGTAAAGTCCTTTGGTCCTCCATAATAGTACTATTCCTGCCAATTCTTTAACATGTATTCAAGTAATTAGTAATCATTTTTTTCTTTTTATGTACAAAATTAAACAAGAATATTTAAAAACCATTCTGTTAATCATCACAGGGTAGCAGAACAAGTCAGTATTCTTTAAAAAATTATAATGGAGGGACCAGCAGGTGGTGTGGTGGTTAGGGTGCTAGACTCCCACGTGGCTGATTGTGGTCCAAGTCCCAGATCTAGTGGCTTGAAACTCAAGACAGGCACATGTGTGTATACCTAAAATGCCAGGAGGAGAATGGAGGAGTAGGGATTGCAGCATGGCCAGTCCCCCCCAGGGTGTGATTTCTCACTTTTCCTCTCACTATCTCTGTCTCTATCTCTCTCTGATGCATGTAGGCACCCTATAGCAAAAACCTTACAAAAATTATAATAGCAATAGGTAAGACACACTCCTACTGTAAGCATTTATTAAATTTGATGAATAGAGAATAAAATAAAGCAACACTTCTAAAACATATTCCAATTCTGTTTTTCCCAGTCTACACATTAACATCCTTTATTCCCTATAGTTCAATATTCAGATTTGAGAACCAATTTTATTGTATTTGAATTCCACTCATGAAAGAAGAAACTGGCATAAAACTACCAGAAATCTAAAGTTCCTCCAGGTCTAGAATCATGGCTTGGGAAAACTTCATCCTGTGGACACATTTCTTTTCTCTCCTTTCAACATCACAACTCTTCATGCCCTCTGCTTCCAAAAATGACTTCCTCCCTCCTAAAAAAGAGACTTTCCTTCAAAGTCAAGTCAGAAAAGAGAAAAGGCAGATGTACAGCATGGTTTTATCTATCTCCTTATTTTTATGTTTAAATCTCTCTCTCCCTCTCTCTCTCTCTCTCTCTCTCTCTCTTTCCTTTTATCTCTCTCTCTCTTTCCTTCCCTCTCCACCCCTCCATATACATATATATATATGTGTGTATATATATATACACTCACATTGAAAGAGGATACAAAAAAGCAGGGCAAAAATAATGGAGTGCATGTGTGTGTGGGGGACAAAAGTACAAAGTATACAAAACAGGATCAAGAAACAGAGGGAAACTATTGGAATTTAAACTTCAAGAAGCTGAATCTCTGTCCCATCTTAGTATCCTGACAGAACAAGCACATAGTAAATAACTAGTAACGTTGGCTGAAGGAGTGACAAAACCGTTTTCCACATGATCTTAAGAATCACCTGGGTCACTTCTTATGAATGCAGATCTGCAGATCCCCAGACCAGAGCTATTGAATTAGGATCTCCAGGGGAGGAGTCCAGAAAAACTTTTAACAAACCATCACCACACACACACACACACACACACACACACACACACACGTGCTTCTTTTGTACAGGCAAGCTTGTAAAACAATGGTCTAAACATGAGAGTGACAGTAGTTACTGGGATGAACTGAGGCATCCAGGCCCTGACATGTGAGGTCTGAATGAATTATTATCCCACCAAATACTGCTCTGTGCTCCCCTAAAAAAAATGCTAAGCAGGGAGCAGGAACACAACTCAAGACTCATAGAACGAGGGAGAAGGAACAGCAAAACTATCCCAACTCAACTTGCTGCAAACTTCTCTCCTACTTGGGACCTTTTTGGAAGGATGCTGGTTGAAGATGCTGTAGTAAGAGGACATGCCTGAGAAGAGGTGCCAGGCTGGTCTCCCACGATCTGGGTGAGCGTGGTGGGACAATGTGTCCAGCACTCAAAGATAACTGGAAAGTATGGTGTCATAACACCCACTGGATTCAGAAGACAGGACACCTAAGTGCCACAACACATCAGCCTTTATTTTGGAGTAAAGTCACTTGGGACTCTGTGACACACTCTGTAAATTGGGTTAGGGGAAAGACACAGAGCAGAGGGTGCTGATCAGGTCTCTCCAAGTTCTGAAATACAACACTCCTACTCCCAGTCCCTACTGTGTCTTTTTCCTGCCCCTTTGCCAATCTAAAATTCACGGAGAGTTGGAGTATGGCATAATCTAGTTTAGGACCATACAAATAACCACTCAGAGGCAGACCCATGAAACACTTAGTCCAGTGTCTTATCTGACAGTGTCTCCAAGGGACACTTTATGAGACTCTATAAGAGTCCTTACCTAACTTTTCCTTTCTTGACAGCCTTAATAAATTTCCTCCAAAAAAGGTTTTAGTAAATTTCAGAACGGTTGTCAGAAAAAAATGCTGCATAATTTGCAGTGAGAAAAACCTCTTTTTAAGCTATGTTACTGGATTTAAAAGAAAACTACGGGGGTCTGCAGGTGGTGTGGTGGTTTAAGGCACTGGACTCCCCACATGGCTGGCCACAGTTTGAGTCCCAGGACTGGCAGCTTGCTCTCTATTGCTTTCCCTCTCTCTCTCTGTCTCTCTGGTGAAAGCATGTACCCTATAGGAAATTAAAATAGTGCTAATAATAATTAATTAATTAATTAAAATGAATACTTCTTTAAAAGAAAATCAGGAAAGAAGGAATAGCTTTCTCCCAGGAAGGCACAAACTTCCCTGTAGTCACAATAATTTGGAAAGAGCTAAGTACGAACCTCGAAGAACAACCCCCAACTTCTCCTTTCAGTTGAGTTTCCAGCAGCAGCCCCTCACCACCACCATGCG